TGGTCAGCGCGTCTGTAAGCGCTGACTGAGGTATTGGATAACCTTGAGGCAGCTGGCCTTAAACAATGACGCCGGACAAAGCAATGGAGGGCGTAAGATGGCAGAGACCACTTCACTGACACTGATTGAAGGTGAGTGAGGGTAAATAGTGCGGTAATAGTAGCGTAAAAGGCTACTTCCACTTAAGCCTAAGTTAGGCGATGTTCTGGCCAACGCCCAAGCCCACTCGGTCCTCTTAACTTTGTCCTTTCACCGGTTCAAACGGATAAGGGTTCAGAGTGAGGTACCAATATCGTGTGGTGTTAAAGCTAAGGAAGGCTTAACCCTAACGGTTGCGATCTTCCAGACCCGGTTCCTTAGGAGAGGAGAGAAATCTTGCGAAGACCAGAGTAGTAGTAAGAATATATTCTGTACAGAATGAATAGGAGAATAGGCAGTAGGTAAATGACTACCAGACGACCGCATCACTGCAAGCTAGCGGACAGCGTCTGAAGTGAGGTCTACTCGGCAGTCGTCAAATGACGGCCTGTGTGGGTCGGTCTGCGGTTGGCTGTTACAGAGACCGGAAAAAGCGAGCATTTCCAAAAGTGCACTTCGACTTGGGCTAGTCACGACAGGTGTTCACAAGTGCATTTCGTGTAGAGCTAGTCACTGCAGACAGTTGCGCGTCATTTCACCTAAATCTCGTCTCTGACTCCAGTTACCATCCCTGATCTTGGGTATATGGTGGACATCATCGAAATCGATGGTCGAACTATCACCGGAGATGAGAAGGAGGAGGAGGAGGAGGAGAAGAAGAAGAAGAAGAAGGAGAAGGAGAAGGAGGGGAGTAGGGGGGAACGGGGAGGGCATGTTGCTCGCAACCGGCGCCGAAGAACTACGTTCAGTCATTGCGCGAAACAACAGAGCGCACATCCATTTGCGGCCAGTCCTACCTGAACTACCAACCGACCAACGGCACCACGTCACCTAACATCCTTTGTCGCTGCAGATAGGATATCCATTCTAGCAGGAAAGGGCGCAAGTGAATCTATTGGCATCCTGAAGCAAACAAGACCTG